CGTCGGGTGATTCTGTTATAAGCCGTCAGGATAATGGACTTACCCTTCTAATTTCTCAGAGTGTTTTGGGAGATTGGATACCAACTAGTGATAAGTTATGGGATTCTAACCGTTTTTATTTATTTGATTTTGTATTTTTCTTTTTATTTATTTATTTTTTTTGGACGGGAGTCTTACGCTCTGTTGCCCAGGGCTGGCAGTGCAGTGCCGGATCTCGTCACGCAAGCTCCGCCTCCCGGGTTCCGCCATTCTCGGCTCCTCGCCTGCCAAGTAGCTGGGACTACAAGCGCCGCCACACTCGCCCAGCTAGTTTTTTTTTGTATTTTTTGTTTTGCAGGTAGAGACAGGGTTTCACGTGTTAGCCAGGTGTCTCGGATCTCCTGACCTCGTGGATCCACCGCTCTGGGCCTCCAAGTGCTTGGGATTACAGGGCTTGAGCCACGCGGCCCGGCCCTATTTTCTTTATTTTTAAGAAGGAGTTTTGCTTGTGTCCCCAGTGCTGGAGTTCCAGTGGGTGTGATCTCTTTGATTACTGCAAATGCTTTGTCCACTCTGCTGTGAGTTCTATAGTATAGATATCTTCCTCATGCCGTCAGGTGTAATCAGATCTTGTCTCTAGCATGTAAGTGTTTTGTGGGGACTTGCTGAGGCGTGTGGCCACATACTCTCACCCACGTATACTTCTCTCTGCTAATTTTTGTTGTCTTAGGTAACTCCGGCATGCTTGCTCATTAGATATTATATGTATGGCTCTCTGGGGTATGTGTGAAGCATCCATGGACTACAGATGAGTTATCCTCACCTCTCTATCGCCTCTTCCAATTGAGTTGTCGGGATTACAGGTGTGGCCACTGCACAGATACTGTTTATTTGTTCTTGTCAATTGTCTTGTAGAGATTTAGTGATTAATCTCTCTGTCTGTATGTCATAAGCAGAAATGGTATCTCTCGCATGAAACTATAACACAGTATTCGTTTCTATTGGGCTCCTGTTAATATATGGTAAGGACCTCATAGACTTGAGGAGTTGTATTCTATCCAATAATTACAACCACAAGGAATGGAAGTGTGATCAGTCTGGAAGACCACCGGAATGGACGCAGAGGAGAGAACCAAGAGGATTTAGAGATGGTGGTCAGCAGAGCAAGAAACAGAAAGCAACGCAGTAGTGGGAAACGCTGCGGCGTACGGACTTGGAACTGAGGGAAGGTCTCCCGAACTGCCACAGTTGAATCTTTTGATTAAAGCCACAAGAAGTCAGGTGGGGACTCGGCCAGGCGCAGCTGGTTCAACCACCTTAATCCCCAGCCACTCTGGGAGGCAAAGGTGACGGATTACCCTGAGGTACAAGTCAAAGACCGCTGGCCAACAATGTAGTGAAACCCATCTCTACTAAAATTAGGTGGTGTGGCAGCTGCGCCTGTAGTCTCAGTACCTCAGAAGGCTGAGCAGGAGAATCTCTTAACCTGGGAGGCACGTGGAGGTTGCAATGAGCCTGAGATCACGCCACTGCACTCGCAGCCAACGTGACACAGCAAGACTGTATCTCAAAAAAAAAAACAAAAAAACAAAAAAAAAGGCCTGTGCGCAGTGCCTCGCGCCTGTAATCCCAGCACTTTGGAGGCTTGAGACACGGCGGATCACCTGAGGCCGGAGTTCAGACCAGCGCTGACCAACATGTGAACATGGAGAAACCCTGTCTCTACTAAAAATACAAAATTAGCCGGGCGTGGTAGCACACGCTTGTAATCCCAGCTGAGGCTGAGGCAGGAGAATCGCTTGAACCCAGGAGGCAGAGGTTGTGATAAGCTGAGATCACACCACTGTACTCCAGCCTGGGCAACAAGAGAGAAACTCCGTCTCAAAAGCAAAAACAGAAATGAGAGTAGGACAAAATGGAGAAATGGAGGAGATGGCTGGAATGATTGAAGCCTGGCTCCTCACATTTCTTCTGTACATTAATGACTCAGACTACAATGTTTCTAGTGAGAACCTCTTCCCTAAGCTCCAGATACATCAAACAAACCTCCCACTTAATATACAATGAGACATTCAGTTCCTTGATTCCCCCTGCTCCTCCCCTCAACTCCATCGCCCCACCCTAGTAAATGGCACCAGTACCAACAAGCTCCTCTATCTCAAATGCAGCAATGTGCTCACCAGGAAAACCAAGGCCTTGTGTTTTTTGTTGACTCCTGTTTGGTTACATCCTAGAGGAAGGAGGAGAGACAACATGAGACAGTCAAACAACTGAGTATTATTGAAATCGTGCAGTAGTTCTTGACCAAGGGTGTTTTTTGCCCACTAGGGGACATTTAGCAACACCTGCAGACATTTTTGGCTGTCACAACTTGGAGAGGGGAGGTATATACTACTGACAACTATTGGGTACTGGGCAAGGATGCTGCTAAATCCTACACTGCACAGGACAGCCCCTCTCCCCCATCACCCCTAAACAATGAACTGTCCAGTCCAAAAACTCAATAATGCTGAATTTCAGACACCCTGAGATTTACAATATTTACTGGCAAAGAAGAAAGTGTGATGCAGCAAGAAAGGTGGTGGTCAGAAGGCTGGGTGTAGTGGCTCATGCCTGTAACCCCAGAACTTTGGGGGGCCGAGGTAGGCGGATCACCTGAGGTCAGGAGTTCGAGACCAGCCTGGCCAACATGGTGAAACCCCATGTCTACTAAAAACACAAAAATTAGCTGGGCATGGTGGCACACACCTGTAGTCCCAGCTACTAGGGAGGCTGAGGCAGGAGAATCGCTTGAACCCAGGAGACGGAGGTTGCAGTAAGCCGAGATCGCACCACTGCACTCCAGCCTGGCAACAGAGCAAGACTCTGTTTCAGAAAACAATACAAAAATTGGCCCGGTGGGGTGGCTCACGCCTGTAATCCCAACACTTTTGGAGGCCGAGGTGGGTGGATCACGAGGTCAGGAAATCCAGACCATCCTGGCTAACACAGTGAAATCCCGTCTCTACTAAAAAATACAAAAACTTAGCTGGGCACAGTGGCGGGCACCTGTAGTCCCAGCTACTCGGGAGGCTGAGGCAGGAGAATGGCGTAAACCCGGGAGGCAGAGGTTACAGTGAGCCGAGATGCCACTGCACTCCAGCCTGGGCAACAGAGTGAGATTCTGTCTCAAAAAAAAAAAAACTGATTAGGGAAGGCATCCCTGAAGGGGTGCCACTTGAGCTCCCAAGAAAGCAAGACCTTAAGTCCCTTCTCAGGCAGAAAGGTCCAGGTTGAGGAAACAGCAGATGACATAAAAAGGACTAATGATTCATGTGGGGAAAAGAAAGACGGATCAGCCTGCTACTGTGTCTATATAGAAAGAAGTAGACATAACAGACTCCATTTTGTTCTGTATCTGAGATGCTGTTAATCTGTGACCCTACCCCCAACCTTGTCCTTGCAAGAGACATGTGCTGTGGTGACTCAAGGACAGATTTTGGGCTGTGCAGGGTGTGCTTTGTTAAACAAGTGCCTGAAGGCAGTATGCTTGTGAAAAGTCATCACCATTCTCTTAATCTCAAGTACCCAGGGACACGTACACTGCCAAAGGTCGCAGGGACCTCTGCCTAGGAAAGCTAGGTATTGTCCAAGGTTTCTCCCCATGTGATAGTCTGAAATATGGCCCTGTGGGAAGGGAAAGACCTGATCGTCCCCCAGCCTGACACCCGTGAAGGGTCTGTGCTGAGGAGGACTAGTATAAGAGGAAAGAAGGCCTCTTGGCAGTTGAGATAGAGAAAAGCATCTGTCTCCTGCCCGTCCCTGGGCAATGGAACATCTCCGTGTAAAACCCGATTGTATGTTCTGTTTACTAAGATGGGAGAAAACTGCCTTAGGGCGAAAGGTGGGACTTGCTAGCGCAATGCTGCTCTTTATGCACTAAAAAGGTTTATGGAGATATTTGCATATGCATATCAAGGCACAGCACTTTTCCTTAAACTTATTCATGTCACAGAGATCGTTATTCTTCCCTGGTTGACATTTTATCAGAGAATGTAACGCCTGACTCCTGTCTGGAGGATCTCAGCCATGCAAGACGCTTTGATACAAAGACACTGCCTCTATTTCCAACCCGGGTTAAAGGGTTTCCAACAGAACGATCTACGTTTATATTAATAGAGCTCCCAAGAAAGCAAGACCTTAAGTCCCTTCTCAGCGAGGGCCTCATATTAATCTCTTTCATTCTGGCGGGTTTGCTTTGATCGATTAAAAAAAAATCGCTCCATTTCAATTTTACCTACACTCTCCTCCTCCTCCTTCACCCCAGTCCTCTAACGACCCTGCCTCTGCCTTCCAGGAGAGGCCCTGCGGTTTCTTGGTCGGACTTCCGAGTGGGCTGCCTTACCGCGTTGCTGGCCGGTCTGAAAGTAACTCTAAGGAGTGCGTGGGTCGGAGGACATCGGAGCTGAGGCGTCAGTACCCTTCTCCCACCGCGGGATCCCGGGTTTGAGGATCAGGAGCCTCCGAAATGGCTTTGTCAGGGCATCTTTCCCTCTCAGTGAAGGGCCGGGCGGTTGCTGGTGGACAGTACAAATGCAAAGTGCAGGTCGTGCCTCGCCCCTGTGTCCTCAGTTCTCACAAACTCCCGAGAGTGCGTGTCACCATTTCCCCGTTTAACTGGGGAGGAGACAAGGGCCTAAGTACCAAGCCTCAGGCCATTAAGTCAGGAACTGGAGAGCGCGGAGCCCAACCTCCTTTTTTGGACTCCAAAACCTGTGCTTTGAAACCGCGTCGCGGCTTCTCCCAAGAAGGTCCCAGAGAGGGGCGCCCCCACCTGCAGCACTGTCACGCCGCCCCCTGGAGAGCCCAAAAACCTCTAGGCTGGGAGACTAACGCCACAATCTGGGAAAAAGAGGCTACGCGGGTACTGAAATCACGATTGGTATGTGGGCCAATCCCAGGATCCTAAAAAAGCAAAGGGGCGGGTTTATGCAAAACAAACTGAGCAGAGAGCATGCGGGAGAAGCAGTACAGGACCCTTAAATAGGTATGTTTCCAAACTATAGCCACTACTATTAAGAAAGAATAATGAAAACTGCGTTTCGGAATTATAATGTATTGGAAAATAATTTAACATTTAATGCCTAGGTAGTTACCATAAGTGGATAGAAGATAGGAAGGATAAGGCCGCCAAGGCAGCCCGATTCAGGGTATCGCTTCTCGGCCTTTTGGCTAAGATCAAGTGTAGTATCTGTTCTTATCAGTTTAATATCTGATACGTCCTCTATCCGAGGACAATATATTAAATGGATTTTTGGAGCAGGGAGATGGAATAGGAGCTTGCTCCGTCCACTCCACGCATCGACCTGGTATTGCAGTACTTCCAGGAACGGTGCACCCCCCTTTGGGGGAGACAATTGGGTGTCAAAAATGAAAGACTCAATAAAATGGGAAAGAGTTATCCCAGCGGTATTTCGGTGGTATTAATCTTAATTTAGTTTGTTTGTGTGGCGAGTGTTGGGTGTGTGTGTCTTTGCTCTGTAAGCGGAGTTTCACCGTGGCTCTGTAGGAAAGGTTTTACTAACGTCTGAGTTCAAGCGGTTTATCTGTCTCTATCTTCAGGGTGGTTGGGTCTATGAATGAAGGTACGTGCCACCACGCCCGGCTAAATTTTTATATTTTTAATAGAGATGGGGCTTCACCGTGATATAATCTGATCTCGTGATCCGCCCGCCTCGGCCTCCCAAAGATTACATACAGGCAGGAGCCACCGCGCCCGGCCTTAGTTCTTTTTATCATGTGTTTAACGCTTTTTTCCCCATGGTTTTAACTAGAAACTAAGGCAGAAGAATCTCTGTAACTAAGGAATTCCAGGTTGCAGTGCACTGTGACTCCATTCGAATCCCTTTTTCTTTTTTCTTTTTTTTTTTTGAGACGGAGTCTCGCTCTGTCGCCCAGGCTGGAGTGCAGTGGGCTCAACTTCGGCTCACTGCAAACTCCGCCTCCTGGGTTCACGCCATCCTGCCTCAGCCTCCCGAGTAGCTGGGACTACAGGCGTTCGCCACCACGCCCGGCTAATTTTTTGTATTTTTAGTAGACATAGGGTTTCACCATTTTAGCCAGGGTGCTCTCGATCTCCTGACCTCGTGGTCCGCCCACCTCAGCCTACCAAAGTATTGGGATTACAGGCATGAGCCACCGCGCCCGGCTATCCGCCCCTTAAAGAGTAAACGAGGCCGGGCGCGGTGGTTTAGTAATTCCAGCTGTAATCCCAGCTACTTGGGAGGCTGAGGCAGGAGAATCGCTTGAACCAGGGAGGCGGAGATTTAGGTGAGAGGAGATCGCGGCATTGCATTCCAGCCTGGGCGACAGAGCAAAGCTGTCTCTGTCTGAAAAAAAAAAAACAAAAAAACCTTCGGTTTCCTTTTCCCATCTTTCTTTCTTTTGTGACTTATATTCCAGAATGAAGCCCACACATCGTTAATCATCTGAATCGTTTCTAAAGTGTTTCTTAAATCGTTTGTTGTTTCTTGTCTAACAGTCCAGAACACGTATTACATACAGACTAGGGCCAGCTTGACCCGGCCACGCAGTCCAGGAAAGGTGCGTTTCACTCCAAGTGCAAAATGATCAGTGTACTCTTCCGATCTCCCTATACAAGCACCTCCTGGTTTCATTTTCGTAAAGCAAAACAAGCAAAGAAGCTTTACCCTTTCGGCTCTTTGAACTCCCAGAAACTGGGCCGGGCGCGGTGGCTCACGCCTGTAATCCCAGCACTTTGGGAGGCCGAGGCGGGCGGATCACGAGGTCAGGAGATCGAGACCATCCTGCTTAATACAGTGAAACCCCGTCTCTACTAAAAATACAAAAAATTAGCCGGGCGTGGTGGCGGGCGCCTGTACTCCAAGCTACTCGGGAGGCTGAGGCAGGAGAATGGCGTGAACCCGGGAGGCGGAGCTTGCAGTGAGCCAAGATCGCGCCGCTGCACTCCAGCCTGGGCAACAGAGCGAGACTCCGTCTCAAAAAACAAACAAACAAACAACAACGAAAAAACTCCTAGCAACTGCACTGCCCCTGCCTTGGACTCGACGCCCGCCAGTGACGCACACGCTGCGCCGGAAGTGCGAACCATCTGCCTCCAGGCTTTGTCATGGCTGCTGCTGCCGCACGCTGGAACCATGTGTGGGTCGGCACCGAGACTGGGATCTTGAAAGGTGGGTGGCAGGCTTGGGCGTCGGGAAGTGCAGGGGTGCACTCGCGCCCCTGGTGTGACTGACGCCCTCCTCTCTCAGGGGTAAACCTTCAGCGAAAACAGGCGGCGAACTTCACGGCCGGAGGACTGCCGCGGCGCGAGGAGGCAGTGAGCGCCCTGTGTTGGGGCACGGGCGGCGAGACCCAGGTGAGTGGCCGCTGGCCGTGCCGGAGCTGGAGGCCTGGGGCACAGCAGCCTTGCTCTCCTTGCCATCTTGCCCTTCTTTGCCGCAGATCCTGGTGGGCTGCGCGGACAGGACGGTGAAGCACTTCAGCACCGAGGATGGCATATTCCAGGGTCAGAGACACTGCCCGGGCGGGGAGGGCATATTCCGTGGCCTCGCCCAGACCGACGGGTAAGACCAATCCCCTCGCTAAACTCAGGGCCTAAGAGAGAGCTTTGATGCTCCCTGCGGATACTGGAATGATGGCGACAGACAATCTGAGTGACACGGTTTTCAATAGGTGACAGAGACCTAAGTTTCTGCCTTACGTAGTTAATACCTGTAACACATTTATTGAACACCTACTGAATTCCAGGCACTGGGCGAAGTACAGGGGCTGCCGGTAAAATTTCTGCTTTCAAAAAGTTCGCATCCTGTAAGGTTTTTCACCTTACTCCATTATAACCCTCTGAGTTTTGTGTGTGTGTGTGTGTAGACGGAGTTTTCGCTCTTCTTGCCCAGACTGGAGTGCACTGGCGCGATCTCGGCTCACTGCAACCTCTGCCTAGGAGAACTGCCTCAGCCTCCCGAGTAGCTGGGATTACAGGCGCCCGCCACCGCGCACAGCTAGTTTTTGTATTTTTAGTAGAGACGATTTCACTGTATTGGCTAGGCTGGTCTCGAACTCCCCCTCAGGTGATCTACCTGCCGCGGATCCCCAAAGTGTTGGGATGACAGGCGTGAGCCACTGTGCCCACCTGTCTGTCATTTAACGGTTTTAAGCAAGTCTGGGTGTGGTGGCTTATACCTGTCATCACAGCACTTTGGAAGGCCGAGATGGGCGGATCACTTGAAGTCAGGAGTTCAAGACCAACCTGGCCAACATGGTGAAACCCCTTCTCTACTGAAAAAATACAAAAATTAGCCAGGTGTGGTGGCGCATGCTTGTAATCCCAGCTACTTGGGAGGTTGAGGCTGGAGAATCGCTTGAATCCGTCCCTCAGAGGTTGCAGTGAGCAGAGATCGCACCAATGCACTCCAGGCTGGGGAAGAGAGCAATACTTCAACCAAAAAAAAAAAAAAGGAGCCAAGCACGGTGGCTCACGCCTGTAATCCCAGCACTTTGGGAGGCTTAGGCAGGCGGATCACAAAGTCATGAGATCGAGACTATCCTGGCTAACACGGTGAAACCCCGTCTCTACTAAAAATACAAAAAATTAGCCGGGCGGGGTGGCGGGCGCCTGTAGTCCCAGCTCCTCAGGAGGCTGAGGCAGGAGAATGGTGTGAACCCGGGAGGCGGAGCTTGCAGTGAGCCAGAGATCGCACCACTGCACTCCAGCCTGGGAGACAGAGCGAGACTCCATCTCAAAAAAAAAAAAAAAAAAGGTTTTAAGCATTCATTCATTACTTCATTTATATATTTTGAGACAGAGCCTCAGTGTCACCTAGGCTTGAGTGTGGTGGTGCATTCATGGCTCATTACAGCCTCAGCCTTCCGAGGTCGAACAATCCTCCCGCCTCAGCCTCCTGAGTACCTGGGACCACAGGCAGGTGCCACCCCGCCCAGCTAAATTTTTAAGTTTTTTGTAGAGATAGGGTCTCACTGTGTGCCCGGGCTGGTCTCAAACTCCTGGGCTCAACTTGAGCTCAACCAACAAGGTGATGTACCTCTGAAAGCAAAGATTAGGAAGGTGCTAAGTGGTTGGATTACTGGCCCTGCTTTCTTCCAAAGACGATGAAAGAGGGCTGTGAAGCAGGCTGCATAGGTTTGGTAGTGGTAATTCTGACAGGTGAGGTCTGGAAAGCCTCTGGTGGGGACTGGATGTTTGAACTGGGTCTTGAGGGATGGGTAGAATTTTGACTGGTGGAGAAGGGGATAAGGGTATTCTAGAAAGAGGGTACTGCCTGGGAGAGGCCAAGGACTGGGGGCATGCTATAGGGTACATAAATAGGATAAATAGCATTTGATTTGGAAGTTGACAACAAGGAAGCTTTTTTTTTTTTTTTTTTAAATGCAGAGTCTCACCCTGTAACCCAGGCTGGAGTGCAGTGGCAGGGTCTCGGCTTACTGCAACCTCCAACTCCCAGGCTCAAGCGATTCTCCTGCCTCAGCCTCCCAAGTAGCTGGGATTACAGGCATCCGTCACCACGCCCGGTTAAGTTTTTTTTTTATATATTTTTATTAGAGACAGGGTTTCACCATGTTGGCCAGGCTGGTCTGCATCTCCTGACCTCAAGCGATCTGCTCACCTTAGCTTCCCAAAAGGCTGGGATTACAGGTGTAAGCCACTGCACCCAACCAAGAAAGCATTTTAATACAAGATGGACACTATATTAGGTTGGGATTAAATGTAAAGGGCTTTAAGTGCTAGGTTGAGAGATGTGCACGTTTATTGGTGTTGGCGAGTTATTCATTTTTTGTTTTTGTTTTTCTGAGAGATGGAATCTTGCTCTGTCTCTGAGGCTGAAGTGCAGTGGCATAATCCCGGCTCACTGCAACCTCCACCTGTCTTGTTCAAGCGATTCTCCTGCCTCAGCTTCCCAAGTAGCTAGGACTACAGGCATGTGCCACCACACCCAGCTAATTTTTGTATTTTTTAGTAGAGACAGAGTTTCACTATATGTTGGCCAGGCTGGTCTGGAACTCCTGACCTCAGGTGATCTGCCTGCCTCAGCCTCCCAAAGTGCTGGGAGTACAGGCGCAAGCCACTGTGCCTGGCCGAGTTACCAGTTTTTGAATAGGAAGTACCATAGTCGCTTTCTTTGCTGCGTCTACTGCAAGAATGAAGACGATTCTCAGCAATCAGACTGTCGACATTCCAGAAAATGTCGACATTACTCTGAAGGGACGCACAGTTATCGTGAAGGGCCCTAGAGGAACCCTGCGGAGGGACTTCAATCACATCAATGTAGAACTCAGTCTTCTTGGAAAGAAAAAAAAGAGGCTTCGGGTTGACAAATGGTGGGGTAACAGAAAGGAACTGGCTACCGTTCGGACTATTTGTAGTCATGTACAGAACATGATCAAGGGTGTTACACTGGGTTTCCGTTACAAGATGAGGTCTGTATATGCTCACTTCCCCATCAACGTCGTTATCCAGGAGAATGGGTCTCTTGTTGAAATCCGAAATTTCTTGGGTGAAAAATACATCCGCAGGGTTCGGATGAGACCAGGGGTTGTTTGTTCAGTATCTCAAGCCCAGAAAGATGAATTAATCCTTGAAGGAAATGACATTGAACTTGTTTCAAATTCAGCGGCTTTGATTCAGCAAGCCACAACAGTTAAAAACAAGGATATCAGGAAATTTTTGGATGGTATCTATGTCTCTGAAAAAGGAACTGTTCAGCAGGCTGATAAATAAGATCTAAGAGTTATTCAGCTACAGAAAGAAGATGCCAGATGACTCCTAAGACCTACTTGTGGTATTTTAATGATGCAATAAAAGACCTGTTGATTTGGGAAAAAAAAAAAAAAAAAAGAAGTACCATAGTCAGCACTGGGAACCTGTAGGAGTATGGAGGATAGATTGGAGACAGCAACTGGGAGACTTTTGTCACAGCTCAGGCAAGTCGAAACAGAGCCTGAACCCAGCTGGGGAGGGTTGGCAGGCATGAGAAAGAACATAGGCGCAGGCTGTGCAGATCCTGGGGAGAGACTTGCTTGGACTTCTTGAGATACTTTAAGCAAGAGACTGACATTTAGTGCCTGAAACCCAGAGCAAGGAACACAAGAAGCTGGTGTTTGACTTTGACCAAACCCTAAATTCAGACCAGTCCCATTTCAATCCTTTTAGAACTGCTGATCCTGAGCCCTGGTAGGCAACTCAAGATTCAGATAGACCAGCACGGCCAGGTAGACCAGTACGGCCAGGCGCTAGACACAGCTGTGAACAGCAAAAGCACTCCGGAATGTTACAGAGTGGATTTCCAGCTGCAGTTGTAACATAGCTGAGTGGCAGATTAGCTTCTCAGCGCTTCTGTTTCCTCACTTGGTAAACCCTCACCCTGTTGAGTAAGTTGAATTAACAGATTAGGAAGCTGGAAGCTGTCAGGCTCTGCCTAGAGCCCAGTGACCTAGAGGCTTTCTTCTAAACTGGACTGTTAGTAGGGAATCGGGTTGATACGAGTTTGGGGCCTAGGAATACTTTTGTACTTTTTTGTTTGTTTGTTTTTAAACATTGTCAAGTCTAGTAGTGAGAAGGAGAGAAAGATTAGAACAAGGAGTTTAAGCACTTAAAACATCCCAACTGTGTCCTTTCTCTGCAGCACCCTCATCACATGTGTGGATTCTGGGATTCTCAGAGTCTGGCATGACAATGACAAGAACACATCCTCTGACCCAGTGAGGCTTCCCTGCCCTGATGGTTGGGGGAGGGGGGCTGGGGTAGGTGCCTAATGATCATGTTGGGGAAGGGAGGATTAAGAACTCTGCAACGAACTCTTATCTCCCATTCTTTTTAGCTCCTGGAACTGAGAGTGGGCCCTGGGGTGTGCAGGATGCGCCAAGACCCAGCACACCCCCATGTGGTTGCCACAGGTGGGAAAGAGAATGCTTTGAAGATGTGGGACCTGCAGGGCTCTGAGGAACCTGTGTTCAGGGCCAAGAACGTGAGTGACAAGAGTGTGAAGGAGCTGTTCCTGAAGTTGAGGGAGGCTGTGGCCACTGACTATGCGGCAGAGACTAGATGGGCTTTAGGGGGCGAAGGAGGGCTGAAAGGAGGAGCACATCAAGCCCCCCACAGCCCTGTTCCCCATCTGCCCACCCCACCAGGTGCGGAATGACTGGCTGGACCTGCGGGTTCCCATCTGGGACCAGGACATACAGTTTCTCCCAGGATCACAGAAGCTTGTCACCTGCACAGGGTACCACCAGGTAAGGTGTCGTCTCCCCCTACCTTCTCCTGGGATAAAGCAGCCTTCTGAAGAAATGGCCCCCACGGTTTGGCACAACTGCCTTTCTCACCATTCTGAGCTCAGAGGAGCAAGCGCGTCCCCATCTGTTCCAACCCTGTCCCTGAGCCCATGACTGTCCTGTGCTGCATTCTAGGGTGGAGTTTCCTGAACTGTGCTGGTTTCCTCCCACCTGGAAGAGAGGAGAGGACAGTGGATCCCCTTCACTGTGGGAGTTATAGGGTGCAGGTGTCAGAGGACATTGGGCTAGGGGCTAAGAGAACTGGGTTCTGGTCCTGATGCAGCCTCTCTGATTTGCTTTGGGACTGAGGCCTGAGCCTCCCATCTCTGGCTTCAGCTCCTCAGCTCCTCAGCTTTACATGAAGGCCCCAAATGAGAAATCTTTATGGCTGTCTCATTTGAGGTCTTGAGACACGGGTAGGGCTGGGTCACTGTATTTGTCCTGTTTTCTTTGCTTTCTGCACATTGAAGTCTGATCTTGGTCATACGCCTTTGCTCAAAACACATATGAGGGCATCCTCTTTCCTCCTTCATTCAGGCTAACCTCTGCTTGAAATTTAGCACCCACTGACTACTAGACTGACTTGCTTTTCCATCCCTCCATTTCCCCTAGATGGGAGTATGGGAGGATGGAATGCTCACACACTTCAAACCTAGGGGACCTCTCCCCTCAGCTCTGTCCATTTATGCTGCTAAGCAGCTCTTCTGACACCCTGATGCTCAGAGAAGAGGCATACATCTAAGATGAGAAAGCTTCTGACAGTGGATCATAAATAAGAGAGCAGTGTGCAGGGAGCGGGTGAGGATGCAGAGATGCCAGAGGGTAGGTGCAGGGTGAGGATACTTTCATGATGCTTCAGCCTTCCTCTAGGTTCGTGTCTATGATCCAGCATCCCCCCAGCGCCGGCCAGTCCTAGAGACCACCTATGGAGAGTACCCACTGACAGCCATGACCCTCACTCCGGGAGGCAAGTGAGTGTTTAGAGGGGAAGGGGTGGGAGGGTGGGGCTTGGGAAGGGCTCCAGGAGGTTACTGCTGACTCCGCTTGCCTCTGGTCTCATCCTCAGCTCAGTGATTGTGGGAAACACTCATGGGCAGCTGGCAGAAATTGACCTCCGGCAAGGTGAGTGGACTAGGGTATGTCGGGGGGAAAGGAAGGAGCAGGGAGAAGGGTAAGGATTCCCTCTAAGGCGGTGCAGTGGGGCCAGTGAGGCCTCATTCAGGTGCCAGATTGCCTGGGTTCAAATCCTGGTTTCCTCAAAAGCTGTATGACCTTAAACTATTTCAACTCCCTGTGCCGTAATTTCCTCACCTGCGAAATGGAAATATTAGTAGAAGCTCCAGTCTCAGGGTTTTGTTGCAGATTAAATGTTGAAATGGAAAGTGATTGGAACAGGAAACAATGAATGGTTGGTTATTGGCCAGCCAGTTATCACGGATGCTTCCCCCCTTCTCTAGGGCGTCTACTGGGCTGTCTGAAGGGGCTGGCAGGCAGTGTCCGTGGGTTGCAGTGCCACCCTTCAAAGCCTCTACTAGCTTCCTGTGGCTTGGACAGAGTCTTGAGGATACACAGGATCCAGAATCCACGGGGTCTGGAGCATAAGGTAAGTCGTCTCTCCCACCCCAAACTCATGGTCTTGTGGAGGCTCCGTCTCCTTTGTCCCCTTTCATGTTTCTGTCTCAGCATGCCTGGCTCCTTAAGGTCCTTCATCTTTTGCAGGTTTATCTCAAGTCTCAATTGAACTGCCTCCTCCTGTCAGGCAGGGACAACTGGGAGGTGAGCAGTTGGGTCTGGGAATGTGGGAGCTAAGGGCATAGATGTGAGGATCTCCCTATGAAGAGGAAAAGGAGGCAGCTAGAATGCAGACCTGGGACTATCTGTTTACCTGCCTGGTCACTTAATTTCTCTGAGAGGCATTAACAGTTAAAATCCTGAGGGTTATTGCCAAGAGCATGGATGGGGTTGCTTTCTGGGAGCAGGGAATAAAAGTGGTGATACCCAGAGGGATTATTTCTCAGCCAGGGTCTCCTTCCCTGTGGGTTTGTCCCTGTGCCCCTGACTACTTTTTCTTTTTTTTTTTAACTTCTTTTTGTGGAGATGGGGTCTCCTATGTTGCCCAGTCTGGTCGCTAAGTCCTGGGCTCAAGCAATCCTCCTGCCTTGGTCTCCCAAAGTGCTGAGATTACAGGTGGGAGCTACCATGCCCAGTCCCCCTGACTCCTACACTTTCTTCCCACTCACCAGGATGAGCCCCAAGAGCCTCAAGAACCCAACAAGGTGCCCCTAGAAGACACAGAGACAGACGAACTTTGGGCATCCTTGGAGGCAGCTGCCAAGCGGAAGCTCTCGGATTTGGAGCAGACCCAAGGAGCTCTCCAAACCAGACGGAGAAAGAAGCAGCGGCCTGGGTCCACCAGCCCCTGACGCTCCTGTGCCTGCCCACTTTGTAAATAAACAGCTGAACATCCACCATGACCCTGAGCCTTTTGTGATGGGAGAAAGGAATGAGGGGTAGCTTGGGGTGGGGGCTCCCTGAGCTGGGGCGACGGGATATCTGATGTCACAAAAGCCGGGCCTGGAGGCACGTAGGCTGGCGTGGGTGGCAGGGAGTCCGGGGCCCCGCGGGGCCATGGGCTGCTGCCAAGACAAGGACTTTGAGATGTCGGATGAGCAGTCCAAGGAGGCAGAGTCTGAGGACGTCAGGGAAGATGGGACCAGAGGCACACACAGAGGGACCAGGGAGTGTGAGAAGGGGCTTCCCGAGGGTAGGGGTGAGCTCAGAGGCCTCGTCGCCTCAGGCGCCGAAGGTATCGACTTGAACTCCCCGGACCATCGGAATCATAAGTCGAACGAAAGCCTTCTGATCACCGTGCTGTGGCGGCGACTATCCATGTTCAGTCGTCGGGGCTCCTCGCGGTCAAGCAAGAGACAATCAGACCAGATTCGGTCATCAATGTTCAGTGCTCGGGGCTCCTTGCCGTCAAGCAAGAGACAATCAGACCAGATTAGGTCATCAATGTTCAGTGGTCGGGACTCCTTGCCGTCAAGCAAGAGGCAATCAGATCAGACTCGGAAACAGGAGCGTCCGATCCGAGAAGGCAACCAGGAGGAGCCGGAGAAGGGATGACCCCAGACCTGCTCTTAGTCCGCCCCAACCTCCAGAGAATAAAATTTCTAACGTGTACCTGCACCACCACTCTGGGAAACGGGCGGGCCCGGACACCGCCGGGCAGCTGGTTCTTTAAGGCTCCTCCCCGGAGACGGGCCCAGCCCCCTGGGCTCCCGCTGTAGTACTCCGGGGCGGGGTCACGGCAGCGCCTTAGCCAATGGGAGGGGGGGTCGCTCTTGCGTTTGGATGTGGGGCGTGTCTTTCGGGTCGCCTGGCTGGAAAATGCGTGGGACCGCCCCCTCGTCACCGGGGGTGGGGTTACGTGTAGGTGACGTGGCCGCTTCCAGTCTGGTCGGGTTTCGGCGGCCTCAGTGCCCAGGGAGGAGGCAGTGACGGCCGGGGAGATTGGTAGTGGCGGCGGCGGCGGCAGGCAGCAGAGGGGAGGTAAGACTTGCTCTAAGAGGGGGTCTGGCCACCGTGTCAGCTCTGGGGCAGTGGTTTTACAGGGGCGACGACTGGCAGGGGGAAGGGAACCAGGGGCAAGCAGGCAAGTCCTGCCGGCCCGGCTCCTGGTGAGCGAATTCCTTGCCGTCCAATCAGGAAAGCCTCTGTTGAGAGAGACGTCGGCATTAGCTAATGAGTGGTTGACGTCTTCCAGAAGGCGGACCTTGGGCGGGGGGTGGGACTTCCTGTTTCAAATAAACACCCAGAGGTTTCCCCCTCCGCCCACCGAAGTGTGTCAGTCTTTGGAGGTCCGTCACCGGCCCCCCCCCGAGGGGCCGAAGGAAACCACGGAAACGAAGGGACTGGGTTAGGGCCCGGGGCAGTTACACGGGCCAGGCCGCAGTCTGAGGGCCACGGGACTTGGCTCTGGCCCTGTCTCTGCTTCAGGGCCCCTGGCCCGCGCTCTGGCCGCCAGAGCCAAGTTGGAAGAAGAGTCTGAAGCGGGTTCGACTTGGGACAGGGGAAAAGCAGAGCCCTTTCCGCTGCTGGCCCGCCCCAGGATCTGCGAGCGTCTTGGGCGCGAAAGTCCATGAGAAGTGTGGAAGGGGCTCGAGGATTTGTTGATTGGGGTGGGGTGGGGGAGTTTGGGGAAAGAAGCTGCCTGGGGAATGACACTCTCCCCTCCACAACAGTCCGAGGTTATGCGTCTCAATGATCCCGCGGAAACGCTACGGGTCTAAGAACACGGATCAGGGTGTCTACCTGGGTCTCTCAAAGACACAGGTCCTGTCCCCTGCACCTGCTGGCAGTAGCAGCAGCGACATCGCCCCTCTGCCCCCCCCAGTGGCCCTCGTCCCTCCCCCTCCCGACACCATGTCCTGCCGGGATCGGACCCAGGAGTTTCTGTCTGCCTGCAAGTCGCTGCAGACCCGTCAGGTAAGGACCTGGAGTGGAAAAGGCGAGGAGTGAGCCATACTCAAATCTAGGAAGGACTGTGCTCCACCACTGTTAACTGAAGTAATTCTTGGGGGTACCTGATGGAACTAATAGGCTTGGATGGGGCCAGTAGGGTCTGCTGTAAGCAACAGAGAAGAGGTCGGCTGGCTAACTAGAGGCAAGGACTTAGACCTTTTTTTAGGAGGAATCCCTTGGAGGGCAGGATTGCTATTCTGGAGGGAGTACTTCAGAGAGTACTTGGCTGTAATATAATTGGTGTGAATAAGGAACAAGTTCTAGGAGGAGCCTTTAGCTGAGAAACACGCACCTTGAATTTTCCAATATATTTCTACCATAAATTTGCTCTGTAACCATGAGAAAATTAATCTAGTTACATCTTAGTTTTTATCTCTGTAACATTAAGGACATTTTCTAGATCAGTAATTTGTTGTTTTTGTTTTGAGATCTGTTTTCAACTCTGTCAACAGGCTGGAGTGTAGTGGCGTGATGATAGCTCACTGCAGTCATGAACTCTTAGACTCAAGGGATCCTCTTTCCACAGCCTCCTGAGCAGCTGGGACTACATGGATGCACCACCCAGCTAATTTTTAAATTTTTTTCGTACAGGCAGTGTCTCACTATGTTGCCCAGGTTGGTCTGGACACAAACACCTGGCCCTAGACCAGTAATTTGTATCAAAATAACTTAGGGTTGGATGTGGTGGCTCGTACCTGTAATTCCAGCACTTTGGGAGGCCTAGGCCACAGGATCGCTTGAGGCCAGGAGTTAGAGACCAGCAGGGGCAATGAAGAAAGACCCTGTCTCTACAAGAAAAAAAAAAAAGCTGGACGTGGTGGCATGTGCCTGTAGTCCCACCTACTTAGAAGGCTGAGCGAGGCCCAGTCTCTTCCTCTTTCTCTTTTTTTTTTTTTTTTATTTTAAGAAGGAATTTCACTCTTGTCGCCTAGACTGGAGTGCAGTGGTGCAATCTCAGCTCACTGCAACCTCCTCTTCCCGGGTTCAAGCAATTCTCCTGCCTCAGCTTCTGGAGTAGCTGGGATTACAGGTGCCCGTCACCGTGCCCGGCTAATTTTTGTATTTTTTTTTTAGTAGAGACGGGGTTTCACCATGTTGGTCGGGCCGATCTTGAACTCTTGACCTCAGGTGATCTGCCTTCCTCAGCCTCCCAAAGTGCTGGGATTACAGGCATAAGCCACTGCGCCCAGCCTCTCTTTCCTTTTTTGGAAACAGGGTCTCACTCTGTCACCAAAGCTGGAGTGCAGTGGTTCTATCTCGGCTCACTGTGACATCTGCCCTCCTGGGCTCAAGCAGCCCTCCTGCCTCCAGCTTCTCAGTAGCTGGGATTATAGGCATGTGCTACCATGTCTGCCTAATTTTTGTTTTGTTAGTAGAGACGGGGTTTTACCATGTTGCCCAGACTGGTCTCGAACTTCTGTGCTCAAGTGATCCACCTTCTTCATCTTCTCAAAGTGCTGGGATTACAGGTGTCAGCCACTGCACTCAGCTCCTTTTAAAAAAAAATTTGGGAGTGCTTTCTAATTATTTATTTATTTAATTAATTAATTATTTTTGAGATGGGAGTTTCACTCTTGTCGCCCAGGCTGAAGTGCAATGGCGTGATCTCAGCTCACTGCAACCTCCTCCTCCTGGGTTCAAGTGTTTCTCCTGCCTCAGCCTCCCAAGTAGCTGGGATTACAGACATGTGACACAACGCCCGGCTAATTTTGTATTTTTAGTAGAGACGGGGTTTCTCCATGTTGGTTAGGCTAGTCCCAAATTCTCGACCTCAAGTGATCTGCCCGCCTCAGCCTCCCAAAGTGCTGGGGTTACAAGCACCTGAGTAAGTATTTTTTTGTTTGTTTGTTCATTTGTTTTTGAGACGGAGTCTCGTTTTGTTGCCAGGCTGGAGTGCAGTGACATGATCTGGGTTCACTTCAGCCTCCACCTCCGCGTTCAAGCGATTCTCCTGCCTCAGCCTCCCGATTAGCTGGGACTACAGGCGTGTGCCACCACACCCAGCTAGTTTTTGTATTTTTAGTAGAGACGGGGTTTCACCATGTTAGCCAGGATGGTCTCGATCTCCTGACCTCGTGATCCGCCCGTCTCGGCCTCCCAAAGTGCTGGGATTACAGGCTTGAGCCACCGCGCCCGGCCGGTCTCCGTCTCTTTTTTTTTTTTTGAGCAAGGTCTCACTTTGTCACCCAGGCTGGAGTGCAGTGGCACAATCCTGGATCCCTGCAACCTCTGCCTCCCAGGTTCAAGCGATTCTCCAGCCTCAGCCTCCCGATTAGCTGGGACTACAGGCGTGTGCCACCACACCCAGCTAGTTTTTGTATTTTTAGTAGAGACGGGGTTTCACCATGTTCGCCAGGATAGTATTGACCTCTTGATCTTGTGATCTGCTTGCCTCGGCCTCCCAAAATGCTGGGATTACAGGCGTGAGCCACCGCACCTGGCCAAGTAACTGTATTTATTTATTTATTTTGAAACGGAGTCTCGCTCTGTCACCCAGGCTGGAGTGCAGTGGTGGGATCTCAGCTCACTGCAGCCTCCAGGTTGAAGCGATTCTCCTGCCTTTGCCTCCTAAGTAGCTGGCACTACAGGTGCATGCCACCACACCTGCCTAATTTTTTGTATTTTTAATAGAGACGGAGTTTCACCGTGTTAGCCAGGTTGATCTCGATCTCTTGACCTCGTGATCTGCCTGCCTCAGCCTCCCAAAGTGCTAGGATTACAGGCGTGAACCACCGCGCCTGGCTGAGTAACTGTATTTTTAAATATTTTTACTGATGGGTGGGCATGCTGGCTCACACCTGTAATCCCAGTACTTGGGAGGCTGAGGTGGGAGGATTGTGTGAGCCCAGGAGTTCAAGACCAGCCTGGGCAATATAGCAAGACCCTATCTCTACAAAAAGTTAAAAATTAGCTAGGTGCGGTGGTGTGCCCTGTAGTCCCAGCTACTTGGAAGGCTGAAGTGGGAGGATCGCTTGAGCCCAGGATGTCGAGGCCACAGTAAGTTATGATCATGCTACTATATTCCAACCTGGGAGACAGAGTGAGACCTTGTCTCAAAAATAGTAAAGTTATAAAAATGTGTTTTTCAGCTCATGGTAAAGCTGCTTTTCTATATGATCTCCAAGAACTTTGCAGTCATCCTTATTGATTTCCTGATTTGAGGAATAGAATGGCAATACTAGCTACTATTTATTTAGTGCTTACTGTGTACCAGGTAGTTGACTGAAGTACTTTTCAGCCTTTTTGTTATTTAACCTTAGCAACAACAATGGGAGATGTGTGGATTGTCTTCGTCTTATAGAAGAGGAAGTAGAGATTCAGAATGTTTTAAGTAACTTGCCCCAAATCCCCCAGCTAGTAAGTGGTAAGTCAAGATTTGAACTCAGATCTACTTGTCTTCAAATCTGGACTCTAAATGACTTCCACTCATAAGTCTGGATCATCTGATGGATGCCACTAGTGCTAGAGATAGTTTAGTGGACTCCTCAGGAAGAGTGAAAGCTGGAACTGGGGAAGGGAGAACTAAAGTTGTCACCTCCTGCCATTGCTTTTCAGAATGGAATCCAGACAAATAAGCCAGCTTTGCGTGCTGTCCGACAACGCAGTGAATTCACCCTCATGGCCAAGTGAGTTGAGAGAAGCTTTCTGGTGGGGTGCTACAATGTCTGAAGAAAAGTAGACTTGCGATCAGTGGCCTTGGCTGTGAAGTCTGGGGTTGGTTGTGCTGGAGCTTATGTGGGAAAAGGCCTCCTGCCCTTTCCCACAGTCTCACTAGTGGTCATTTGCAGGCGCATTGGGAAAGACCTTAGCAACACATTTGCCAAGCTGGAGAAGCTGACAATCTGTGAGTGTTCTTGGGGTCTTTCAGAAGTGGGGCAGTAAATCAAAGAGGACTGAGGGCTGTATTCCCTGAGTTTTGTCGTTGACCTCACCCATCGTGGCTTCTTGTTTGTCTCTGTAGTGGCAAAGCGCAAGTCCCTCTTTGATGATAAAGCAGTGGAAATTGAAGAACTAACATATATCATCAAACAGGTGAGCTACTAGCCATCAGGAGAGCCCAGCATTCCAAGCAGATCACTTCTGTCTTCCTGTCATTTTCCATTGCCATGGGGACCCAGAGCAAGTTTCTTTTTTTAGAGAGGGGGTCTCACTGTGTTGACCAGACTGGAGTGTTGTGGTGTGATCCTAGCTCACTATAGCTGTTAACTCCTGGGCTCAAGTTATCCTCCAGCCTGAGCCTCCTGAGCGGTTGAGACTATAGGGACATGCCCTTGCCCTCATACCTGGATAATTTTTTTTTTTTTTTTTGAGACAGAGTTTTGCTCTTTTGCCCAGGTGGGAGTGCAGTGGTGTGATCTTGGCTCACTGTAACCTCCACCTCCCAGGTTCAGGCTATTCTCCTGCCTCAGCCTCCACAGTAGCTGGGACTACAGCTACCTGCCACCAATGCCTGGCTAATTGTTTTCTCTTTAGTAGAGAAGGGGTTTCACCACGTTGGCCAGACTGGTCTCAAACTCCTGACCTCAAGTGAACCGCCCACTTCGGCCTCCCAGAGTGCTGGGATTACAGGTGTGAGCCACTGCACTCAACTGTAATAACTTATTTATTTATTTATTTATTATTATTTTTTGAGACAGAGTTTCACTCTTGTTGCCCAGGCTGGAGCACAGTGGTGTGATCTCAGCTCACCACAACCTCTGTCTTCTGGGTTCAAGTGATTCCACTGCCTCAGCCTCCTGAATAGCTGGGCACATGCCACCGTGCCCAGCTAATTTTGTATTTTTAGTAGAGGTGGGGTTTCTCCATGTTGGTCAGGCTGGTCTCAAACTCCTGACCTCAGGTGGTCCTCCCACTTCAGCCTCCCAAAGTGGTGGGATTACAGGTGTGAGCCCCAGCGCCAGGCCAATAATAACTTTTCTTTTCTTTTTTTTTTTTTTTTTTTTTTTTTGAGACGGAGTCTCGCTCTGTCGCCCAGGCTGGAGTGCAGTGGCCGGATCTCAGCTCACTGCAAGCTCCGCCTCCCGGGTTCCCGCCATTCTCCTGCCTCGGCCTCCCGAGTAGCTGGGACTACAGGCGCCCGCCACCTCGCCCGGCTAATTTTTTGTATTTTTTAGTAGAGACGGGGTTTCACTGTGCTAACCAGGATGGTCTCGATCTCCTGACCTCGTGATCCGCCCGTCTCGGCCTCCCAAAGTGCTGGGATTACAGGCTTGAGCCACCGCGCCCGGCTTCTTTTTTTTTTTTAAAGACGGTGTCTTACTCTGTTGCCAGGCTGGAGTGCAGTGGTGCAATCTAGGCCTACTGCTACCTCCACCTCCCGGGTTCAAGTGATTCTTTTGCCTCAGCCTCCCAAGTAGCTGGGACTGTGGGACTATAGGCATGCGCCACCACACCCAGCTAATTTTTTGTATTTTTAGTAGAGATGGGGTTTCACCATGTTGGCCAGGATAGTCTCAATCTCTTGACCTCATGATCTGTCTGCCTTGGCCTCTCAAAGTGCTGGGTTTACAGATGTGAGCCACTGAGGAATTGTGTGTATAAATATAATTCTGTTGATGCCTCTTGAAGCTACAGTGCCTTTGACTCTTCCCTTTTCCTGAGTGCTGTCCAGTGGCTTTGTTGGTCATGCTCTAGACCCAAGATTTTGGCCTTTGAAAGGGTTCTGTGGCCAAGAGCATGGCCTCACAGAATGGAGCAGGGCAGTAGGCTGGAGGAGTAAACAAGTTATTTACAAATGGATGAAGGCCTACTTTGCCTCTTTCTAGCTCTTCTCTGCAGGAACTGAGCCAGAGCAAACGCTAGACCTTGGAAAATCCTAGCAGGCCCATCTGGTCTGACTCTCTGGGATACTCTCACTCTAGCTAGTAACTTCCACCTTGCCCTTCCTACCAGAGATGGCCATCGGGAGGGATGCTGACTGAGGACTCCTTGGCTAATACTTTGGTTTTCCCTGGACTCTTTCACCAGGACATCAATAGCCTCAACAAACAAATTGCTCAGCTCCAGGATTTCGTGAGGGCCAAGGGCAGCCAGAGTGGCCGGCACCTGCAGACCCACTCCAACACCATTGTGGTCTCCTTGCAGGTGGGAGCTGGGGAGGAAGGGAAGGAGGCAAAGGGGAAGAATGTGGAGTCTTGTTTGGTTGACCGTCTCTCCTTTTCTTCTAGTCGAAACTGGCTTCTATGTCCAATGACTTCAAATCGGTTTTAGAAGTGAGGACTGAGGTGAGAACAATTTGCCTAGGAGGGATAGGAATATAGGGGTAAAGATCCAAGAGGAAATGGGGAAGGTACAGGTTCTACAGGGTCATGGGGCCAATGGTGGGAGTCTCTTTAACATGCCTGCTTTCTAGTGGCTTCAGGTCCTTTGCGTTTTTCCCCAACCCCAGAACCTGAAGCAGCAGAGGAGCCGGAGAGAGCAGTTCTCCCGGGCACCTGTGTCAGCCCTGCCCCTTGCCCCTAACCACCTGGGTAAGTCAGAGGTAAAACGGGAAGCCCCGGGAGGTAAGGTTACTTACTCTGGTTGTGATGGCATCCTCTGAAGGCACGGGTTGGGTAGGAGAGTGGAGGGTCAAGGAAGTTTCTAGGCTCTATCTCTCAGAGGCCGAACCAGATGGTTGAGATTCGTGATCCACATTTAGACTCCCACATTCTCACTGTTGGGGTGAATTCAGTTGTATTCAGAAGAATGATAATTTCTAATTTTTTTCATACACTTACCTTTATTCACATTCTCTCATTTAATTTTCACAACCACCCTTTGAGAAAGCAACTATTATTATCCCCCATTTTACAGGTGAGGAAACTGAGGCTCAGAGAGGTTAAATGACCTGTCCAGGGTCACAAGGCTAGTAAGTGCCAGAGCTGGGATTCAAACCCAGAGCATGTGGGCTTTGAACCTGCTTTTAACTGTGAAGATGTGCCACGTCCTGTTTTCTCCCCAGGGGGTGGTGCTGTGGTTTTGGGGGCAGAGTCCCATGCCTCCAAGGATGTCGCCATCGACATGATGGACTCTCGGACCAGCCAGCAGCTGCAGCTCATTGACGAGCAGGTACCCAGGCTCTGAACTAGGGAGACTCAGCTTCTCCATTATCCTCTGTGGTTCCCAAGACAGTGTTTGGAGTGTGCCATGGGCAGAATGGCAAGCTGGGAGGGCTGTAAAGATGCAGGTCTGACCCTGAAGAAGCTGATGGTGCTCATGTGCTCTCTCCCTCTCCTGAAGGATTCCTACATCCAGAGTCGGGCAGACACCATGCAGAACATTGAGTCGACAATTGTTGAGCTGGGCTCCATCTTTCAGCAGTTGGCACACATGGTTAAGGAACAGGAGGAAACCATTCAGAGGTGAGACATACTCTCTCACCCCAAACAGAGGAGCTTTCTCTTCCCCGTAGATTGGCATCTTAAAGTCCCCAGGGACTGCTTGATGCCCTTTGGAAGATAGAGTGAATTCTGCCCACCCATGGGACCCAGTTCACCTGCTTCCGTCCACCCAACAAGTATTTATTGAGCACCTGTTCATGTGAGGCGCTGCTCCAGGTGCGGGAGATACAGCGGCAAATAGGACAGTAAAGTCTCTCTGGAGCTACTTTGTAGCATGTGTAAGTGTCTAGAATTTGATAGGGCAGATGAGGACAGCTGTGGAAAAGAACTGACAAGGCTGGCATAGTGGCTCACACCTGTAATCCCATAGGCAGCATTTGGGAGGCTGAGCAAGGCAGATCGCTTGAGTTCAGGAATTCAAGACCAGCTTGGGCAACAAAGTGAGACCCTGTCTCTACAAAAAAATACAAAAACTAGCTGGGCATGGTGGCACGGGCCTGTAGTCCCAGCTACTCAAGAGACTGAGGTGGGAGGATGGCTTGAGCCTGGGAGGCAGAGGTTGCAGTGAGCCAAGATCATGCCACTGCACTCCAGCCTGGGCGACAGAGCCAGATTCTGTGTCAAAAAATAAAAATAAAAATTGACCAACAACATTTCAGGTAGTAATGAAGACTGTATACAGAGTTAAAGTAGGATGATGTGTTAAGAAAGTAATGGATGGGTACCATGGCTTACACCTGTAATCCCAGCACTTTGAGAGGCCCACACAGTCACCTGAGCTAAGGAGTTCGAGACCAGCCTAGGCAACATGGTGAAACCCCATCTCTACAAAAATAAAAAAATTAGCTAGACGTGGTTGCATAGGCCTGTGGTTCCAGCTACTTGGGAGGCTGAGGTGGGAGGATGACTTAAGCATGGGAGGTTGAGGCTGCAGTGAGCCATGATGGAACCACTGCGCTCCAGCCTGAGTGACAGAGCGAGACTCCATCTCAAGAAAAAATAAGGAAGTGACTAAGGTATATCAAATTGTGTGGCAGGGAATGCTGCTCTGAAGACACCACATTTAAGTAGAGACTTGAATGACAAGAGGGATCCAGCCAGGCAAAGAAGAGAGAGTGAGTGTTCTCGGCTGAGTGGACAGCTAGAGCAAAGCCTTGTAATGGGATGGTCTAACTATACGCAAGAATCAAGAAGGCCTGCATGGCTAGAAAGTAATGAACAGGGATAGAGAAGTACAGGGTGTACTGGAGGGATGTAGGCAGAGGCCCAACAATGGGCTGGCCTCTCTGTTCCTCTGGTGTCTCCTGCTACTGTAAGAGGTTTTATCTGCTCCTCCTCTGTGGTGCTTAGCATTCAGTCAGTCAGTTATGGGAAATACAGCAGTGGACAGAAGAGACAAAATCCTTGCCCTTGTGGAACGTGTATCCTAGTAGGGAGATAGATGTGAAAAAGTCATAATAAATAAATAGTATGTTTAAAAACAAGTCATAAATGAAAAAAAAAAAAAAAGTCAACACAGGATAAACTAATCAGGAGTGCCAGGTTTGGAGGGAGGTAGGCCTTATTAAGGTGGCATCACACTTGGGAGAAGGTGAGGAAGTTAGGTACATAGACTCTGGCAAAGACCTCCAGGTGACAATATATCTGATGAGTTAACGGACAGCAGAGACTACTGCAGCTGGGATCAGTGAGGAAGAGAGTTGTACAAGGTGTGGTCAGAGGGGAACTGGTGAGACCTCTTGGGACCATTGGTAGGCCTTAGCTTTTATTCCAAGTGACATAGGGAGCCATTGCAGGGTTTTGTTTTTGTTTCTGTTTTTGTTTCAGACAGAGCCTTGCTCTGTCGCCCAGGCCGGAATGCAGTGGCACGATCTTGGCTCACTGCAACCTCCGCCTCCTAGGTTCAAGTGATTCTCATGCCTCAGTCTCCCTAGTACCTGGGACCACAGGTGTGCACCGCCATGCCCAACTACATTTTGTATTTTTAGTAGAGACGGAGTTTTGCCATGTTGGCCAGGCTGGTCTTGAACTCCTGGCCTCAAATGACCTGTCCTCCTTGGCCCCCCAAAGTGCTGGGATTACAGGTGTGAGCCATCACAACTGGCCAAATACATTTAACTTTATTTAATTTATTTATTTATTTATTTTTTAATTTTTATTTTTGAGATAGAGTCTCACTCTGTTGCCAGGCTGGAGTGCAGTGTTACAGTCTCGACTCACTGCAGCCTCTGCCTCCTGGGTTCAAGCGATTCTCCTGCCTCAGTCTCCTGAGTAGCTAGGACTGCAGGTGTGTGAGACTATGCCCAGCTAATTTTTGTATTTTTAGTAGAGACAGAGTTTCACCATGTTGGCCAGGATGGTCTTAATCTCTTGACCTCATGATCCACCCACCTCAGCCTCCCAAAGTGCTGGGATTACAGGCATGAGCCACCATGCCCAGCGTTAACTTTATTTTTATTTATTTATTTATTCTTGAGGTGGAGTTTCTCTCTTGTTGTCCAGGCTGGAGTGCAGTGGCACCTCTTGCGTCATTGAAACCTCCAGGTTCAAGCAATTTTCCTGCCTCAGCCTCCCGAGTAACTGGGATTACATGCACCCACACCACGCCCAGCTAATTTTTGTATTTTTAGCAGAGATGGGGTTTCACCATGTTGACCAGGCTGGTCTTGACCTCCTGACCTCAGGCAATCCATGCACTTCGGCCTCCCAAAGTGCTGGGATTGCAGATGTGAGCCACTGCGCCTGGCCACATTTAACTTTAAAACAAAAATTATAATAGCATATACTCTGGGATTTATAAGGTACGTAGATGCAACAAATTTAACTGTAGAATAAAGGATGAAGCAAGAGGGTTTCAAGATTTTGACAGGTTTTTTTTTTGTTTTTTGTTTTGAAATGGAGTTTTGCTCTGTTGCCAGGCTGGAGTGCAGTGGCTCAATCTCAGGTCACTGCAGCCTCCGCCTCCCAGGTTCAAGTAATTCTGCTGCCTGAGCCTCCTGAATAGCTGGGATTATAGGCGCCCGCCACCACGCCCAGCTAAATTTTGTATTTTTAGTAGAGACGGGGTTTCACCATGTTGGCCAGGACGGTCTCAATCTCTTGACCTCATGATCTGCCTGCCTTGGCCTCCCAAAGTGCTAGGATTACAGGTGTGAGCCACTGTGCCTGGCCGATTTTGACAGTTTATATAAAGTAGGCTGTGAAAAGTTCATAAGGTATATTGTCATCCTTAGAGCAACCACTGAAATAAAACAAACTCAACAATGACATATAGCAAGAAGAGCAACAACCAAATTGAAATGGAAATAGAATTTTAACCAAAATTTCAGTTAATTCAAAAGAAGGACAAGAGAGGATAAACAGAGAAACAAAAAATAAAAGAGAAAAATAGAAAATAGTGCCGGGCGCGGTGGCTCACACCTGTAATCTCATCACTTTGGGAGGCCGAGGTGGGCGGATCACAAGGTCAGGAGATGGAGACCATCCTGGCTAACACGGTGAAACCTCGTCTCTACTAAAAATAGACAAAAAATTAACCAGGCATGGTGGCGGGCGCCTGTAGTCTCAGCTACTTGGGAGGCTGAGGCAGGAGAATGGCGTGAACCCAGGAGGTAGAGCAGTGAACTGAGATCACGCCACTGCCCTCCAGCCTGGGCAACAGAGCGAGACTCAGTCTCAAAAAAAAAGGTAAAATGGCAGCCCTAAATCCAGCCTTATTAAAAATTACATGTGGCCTCAAGTGAGCTCCCCGCCTTGGCCTCCAAAAGTGCTGGGATTACGCATGTGAGCCACCATGCCTGGCCAGATTCTGCCCCTTTTTTTTTTGAGACAGAGTCTCACTGTGTCATCCAGGCTGGAGCGCAGTGGCGCAATCTCGGCTCACTGCAGGCTCCGCCTCCCGGGTTCATGCCATTCTCCTGCCTTAGCCTCCCAGGTAGCCGGGACTACAGGTGCCCGCCACCATGCCTGGCTAATTTTTTTTTGTATTTTTAGTAGAGACGGGGTTTCACCATGTTAGCCAGGATGGTCTCAATCTCCTGACCTTGTGATCCGCCTGCCTCGGCCTCCCAAAGTGCTGGGATTTACAGGTGTTGGCCAATTCTGCCCATATTTTAATCTCCATCCCAGACCACTCTCCTAAACTCCATATATCCATATTCCTGTTCAACATCTCCACTTACTGGCCTGGGAGTGGTGGCTCATGCCTGTATTCCTAACATTTTGGGAGGCTGAGGCAGGTGGATCATTTGAGGTTCAGCAGTTTGATACCTGCTTGACCAAAATGGTGAAACCCCATCTCAACTAAAAATACAAAAAAAAAAAAAAATAGCTGGGCATGGTGACACATGCCTGTAATCCCAGCTACTCAGGAGCCTGAGGTGGTGGAATCACTTTAACCCTAGAGGTGGAGGTTGCAGTCAGCCGAGATCGTGCCATTGCATTCTAGCCTGGGCAACAAGAGCAAAACTCTCAAAAAACAAAAACACAAGCTGGGTGTGGTGGTGCACTTCTTGGTCCCAGCTACTGCGAAGTCTGAGGCAGGAGGATCTGAGCCCCGGGGGCGGAGGTTGCAGTGAGCCGAGATTGCGCCACTGCACTCCAGCCTGGGTAACTGCAACACCCTGTCTCCAAAAAAAAAAAAAAAAGGTATTAAAAAGTTAAATGTATTTTAAATAAGAGGAAGACATGGTAATAGTACTCACATATTTACCATCTTCACTGTTCTTCATTCCTCCTTGAATAGATCTAAGTTTCCCACTGGTATCTCTTCCCTTTATCCTGAAGAAGCACTTCCTTTGGTATTTTGTTTTGTAGTGGAGATCTGCTGACAACAATTTCTTTCAGTTTTCTTTCATCTGAAAAGAAAACAAATCTTTTTCACGAAATCAAAACTAAACTTTTTTCACCTTCATTTTTTTTTTTTTGAGACAGAGTCTCACTCTGTTGCCCAGGCTGGAGTGCAGTGGCACGATCTCGGCTCACTGCAAGCTCCGCCTCCTGGGTTCACGCCATTCTGCCTC